CGAAAATCGAAAATCGTCTGTAACAGGGGAACGTTATTATCAAATCAGCTACGGAGTTTAATTCTTCAGTATGAATACATGATTTCCCACAAATAAGTAAGCACCCGCTACTTCAATGCCTCAGCTAAAACACATGAAATCGCTCATTTAGTTTTCAAGTACAAAGTTAAAATGCCTTTTTAATAATAATATATCAGAGTAAAATAATAGTCTCTTTCAAACTTCACTACAAGAAAACAAAACAAACAGTCATTGTCCAGACAGCAGACTTAATTTAACAATATATATTTTTAATAAAATGTGTTTTTTTGTGTGTGTGTTTTGTTTTTTTTTAGCACCTTGTTGAGTCACCTCCTCCCTCTGCGTATTCTAAGGAATTTCGGCATTTTCTGGGTTTTTTTTTGTTTTGTTTTGTTCTTTGTTGGGGGCGGTGGGTTGATTGATGGGTTCTCAGGGCTGTGCGACCGAATCGGTCTGTGGAGTGACACAGGACCAGGGTGAGGCTTTGGATCCCGGCTCATCCCTCAGGCTCGGGGCTGGAGGCCGCGGGACGGGGTTTGAGAAAGCCGCCCTCCCATATGGCGGGAGGTTTCCAGTTTAAAGGAGTCCTCGGGCCTCCGATCGGGGGAGTCAGCCAGTCACAACCAAAGAGGGGCCTTCCAACCCTGTCCTCGCTGCGAAAGACCTGATGTGTGTCCTCCCCCAAACTCCACTGCCGGGGCCAGCCGTGAGCAGGAGGCTGCAGATCACAGGCCGCCTGGGCTGTCTGCCCTGCTTCCCAGGGACCCGCCTTCCTTCACCGAGATGCCAGACAGGGGAGTCCATCCTCGCGTACCCCTCTCCCCCCAGCTCCTCCACCTGGCCGATGGTCCCTGCCTCAGCGGTGGGGCCAGCCCTCCACACACCCCTGCCCCTCCTGGGCGGGAGAAGGGGCTCCAGGGTCCGCTCTCCTCACACGGCCCGGGAGTGGCCAGACTGGACCACAGATGTCAAGTTCAGACCCAAACGGGGCCTGGCTAGAAACTCCGTTCCCACCAAAACCTTGGCCCTGCTGCTCCCGGCAAAGGAACCTGCCTGCTCTCCTCAGGCCATTGTGCCAGCCAGGCCCCAGGGCCCTCGCCCGCAGCTCCCGGGGGCTCCCGCACGTCCCCCGAAACGACACCTCTGAGAGATACCGGGGCCACCGCGCCTCTGCACCAGGCAGGGGGGTGACAGGAGCTCACCACCACCTCCGGGACCCACTCCCCGTCTCCTCCTCCCGTCACGCCCGGGAGGGCACACCCGGTTCGCTTTCCGACGTCCTTCCCCAGCCGGCCGGGCCCAAGCGGCCTTCCTGCTCCTGCCCCAGACCTCCCGGTGGGGGGATGGTGTCCCCGGAACGGCCAGCTCAGCGGGAAGCGCAGGGAGGGGGCCAGCCCTCCGTGAGACCGCTCCCATGTCCACAGTCTTCCCCCGGCTCTGCCTGTCCTGACCGGCGCCTCAGCGGCCCACCAGACACCACACGGGCCTCGCCAACAGCCAACCACGCCCCAGGCCTGTCCCCAGAGCCCGGGACCCTGGATGCTCTCCTGTGAACTCTGCTAACGGGACGTCCGACAGCAAGAAGGTTCTGGGGTCTGAACGGGAAACGGGGAGCAACACACCAATGGCACCTGCCAACTGCAAATCCTCACCCACTGCTCCCGCCAGCCGGTTCGGGGGGGGGGGGGTGTGGGGGGAAGGGACAAGCACCCACCAGCCGGAGTCCCGAGGGGCTCCGCACTGCCTGCTGGAGACTGGCTTCCTCCTCAGGCCTCGACCTAGGGCTCTGGGCCCTGGAATGAGCAGGGGCAGCTTCCAAGACCGCTGGCATCACTCTCCGTCTCTAGGCGCTCTCTAGGGCAAAGACAATGCCACGGGGCACACACTCCAGAATCTTTCCTAGGTCTCCTGCTCCACTGCCTCCACCCTCAGCCTCATGCACAGCAACTGCCACAGCCCCACTCAGTCCTCGGCCGGCCCGGCCTGTGGGGGCACAGCCCCCCTATAGAAGGGGACCTGGGCCTCCCCACAAGTCCCCCTACGGGTGGAAGTGGGCATGTCCCCAGAGCCCGCTGCACCCACCACGTTCTGCTGTGGGGCCGAGCCCACAGGCTGGCTGGTGATGAACTCGCATTCCTGTGAGGGGCACCTGGTCCGCCCCGGGGCCCCGCCGGGAGGGACAAGCGCTCTTAGGGGTCAGCACAGCGCGCCTCCCTGAGCAAGCTGGCTGGCCGCACCGGTCCTGGGGCTTGCCACGTGCTTGGCTTCCAAGCTTCTTCCCACCCCGCCCCCTCGGTGCAGCTTGGGCTGCTGGGAAAGGCAAACGCCTTCGCAGGAGCCGCGGACCCGAGCCCCAGGAGCGCCCGAAAGGCTGCAAGTGTTTGCAGAGGGAGGCCTGACCCGGGGGCTGGGAAGACCTAGCGCTGGCCGCCGGGGGAGGGAGCACCTTGGGCTGCGAGACAGCCCTCCTCCCCCAGCCCTCCCCAGGGCGCTGGTGGCCTCCAGGGGCAGAGAGAGCCGGCTGGAGCACGAGGGGAATGCAAGCACCGGTCAGGACAGGGACTCCAGAGAGGAAGGGGCAGAGGGAGCCCCTCCTGGCCACTCCAGCCCCCTGGGGGCCCACCGGCGCCACTGGCCACCACGTCACAGAGCTGGTGTCACAGAGCTGGCGGGATGCAACTGGGTGTGACCTCCAAAGCCAATCTGACAAGGAAAGGAGTCGATTGGGGTTCAGAAACCACGCACCCCTCAAAGGAGCCGGACGCTGGCTACGGGCAGGGAGCTGACTCCTGAGCCATGAGCGAGGGATCCAAAGCCTCGGTTTTAATTTTGTCACCAAATTACGAATTTGCTTTATTCCAAACGTGAGGTTCACCGTCCCATTTTTTTTTATTATTAAATTATTTATTTTTTGGAATGGAAGCCCCTTGGCCAAGACGGACCTGGACGTGAATTGCATTTTGGTGAGGGGAGAATAGGTAGGGGGAGTTGAGGGCTGACTTGACTGGTGCCTGGAGTTGCAGGTCAGTATCACAGTTGCTAACAGAAGAGTCTTTTGACATCACCAGGGGGCGAAAGAGAGAGAGAGAGAACGCTACCGGCTAGAGGAGAGCACCTGCTAAAACCTCCTCCTTTTCCTGCCTTCAGCACCGAGCAACTTCTGGGACTGACAGTCTAGCTGCAATCAGGGCAACAGAGGTAAAGAGCTGCAGGGCCGACTCCACACAGGCCTGACTCCCGAGGGAGCGGAGGGCGCCCCCTGGCTGTGAGTGCATCGGATAGAACTGCTCCTGTTCCTGCTCCTGTGTAATGCGTGTGGGACTGACCGGCGTGGGGCTTCCGTCTGCAGCGGGGCCTGGAGCTCAGCGTCCTGAGCCCCCCTGCCTCCGCGCCCCACTCCATAATATCTCTTATACGTGACCCTATCTATTTATATAGCGCCTATCACCGTAGGCCATTTCTAGGGATGCGAACTCGGGACCATGTGCTTGGCGGCACACCTCCCAGCCCTGCCGGCCCCAGGAGGTGCCATCCCCCCTCCCATTATAAAATATATATCTCTATATGCCACATATCTACACCCCATCTACCCAGGCAGGCATCGGCCCCCTGGGCCCTCGCCCTGGGCGTCCCGCCTACCGCCAACATCGGGCCAACGCCAGGCCGCTCGCCGCGGTAGGAAGTGGCACCCAGTGTCGCCGCCTCCGGCTAAGAGCACAGCCATCACCAGACCGAAGCACTAGAAAAGAACTACACACCATTCCAGCCACACACCCAGGAGGGAGACTCCGGCCCCCTCCGGCCCTGACACGCGCGCACACACACGGCTCCAGAGGAGGGGAAGGAGAAGAGAAGAGGACGCACCGGGACGCCGGCCTGGTGGCCCACCTGGCCCGAGAGGTGGGGGCCAGGGCACCGGGGCCACCCCTCACTCAGAAGCACCCTGCTCCCCGCACCTTGGTTTGAAACCTTAAAGGGGAGGGGGGGGGGGTTGGGTTTTTGTGTTCTTAACGAAAAGAAGAAAAAAACAAAAACCTGGAAAAACAAACAGAATTAGAACCAGAACCAGAAGCATAAGGATAACAGGTGTCATCAGCCTCCCCAGTATAAAACTGCAGCCTTTGGAGATGACCAAAAACATCGCGTTCCAGGGCCAAGGGGCCGCCTGGTGCACAGAGGGCGGGTGGTGGGGGCCTCATAAAAGAACACACAAGAGGCGACTTTAGACAGGAAAGCACCAGTACGCTTTGTATGTTTTTTTATTCGCTCCAGGTGGGGCTCTGAGCGGTCGCTTTCCCACACTCTGGGCTAGCTCTGACCCCACCGCGAGGAGCCCTCGGATAACTGGGAGAAACGTGGAATGAAGACCCCCCCCTCATCCTGCCATCCTGCTGAGGGGAGTCTCCCTTTTTGGAAAAAAAAATAAAATAAAAACATCGAAATCAAAAGGTTATTATTGCGTAATCCCAGATGAATCCCACTCTCAGCTGTCCACGGTCCTGACCACCTCATCTCACCCCCTTTTTGGCAGGGACGCGAGGCCCCCAAACTGTCCTTCGCCCCATGGCACACCCAGGGCGAAAGCCACCCTCTCTCCATCCTCGGTTAAAACCCTTTGCACATAAGGCAACATGGAAGCTGATGTTTTTACTCATCTCGCTGTTTGAAAGCACCATTATGAAGTCAGGATGTACAGTAGTTAACAGTACCTTTTATATATAGAGCTCATATCTATCATATATATATAAACTGTAAACAAGAGGTAACAGCGGCTTCTAGAAACTGGTTTTTCTTCAAGGTTCCCTGTGTGGTAGGCACCTGAAATACTGTATAAAAGGGTCTTGTGGTGTCCTCGTCTCCCTGCTGCTAGTTGGGTTCTGCTTCGCAATGACCGGGAATGGTGCTGGCAGGACAGCTCAGTGGCTGGGAGGGGTTTCGGCCTCCTGAGTGTCTCTACTTTCCGTCCCCTGCTTGTGCTCCTATCTGATCAGGCTAGAGACAACAACAAAAAGATATATAGTAAAAAAAAAAAAAAAAAAAAAAAAAAAAAAAAAAAAAAATCCAATACCAATATATAGATTTCCATAGAATTTCTTCTTTCCCTTCTCTCTTATCTTTCCGCTCTGCAAGGGATCGCTACTATGTTTTGTTATTTTTTTTTTTTTTTTTTTTTTTTTTTTTTGCTGCAATACATCCTCTTGTTTCAGTCACAGCAAGAAACAAAAACCCAAACAAACAGAAAACCCCTCTGGGGGGAAAAAAAAAAAAAAAAAAAAAAAAAAAAGAGTAGAAAACAAAAGATTTGACCGAATAAAGGGGGAAGGGGGAAGGGGAAGAGGGAACTCGATGTTGCTTTTAAATAGGACTCAAGATTAACATTGAGAAATCAGGAGATGACGTCCAACCCTTGCCACCAGGCCAAGCCCTCGGTGTTTCCGCCTCTGGTTTTTTTGTTAAATTCCTTTTTCTCTTCTGGGTGCTGATACTTCTCTCCATCCTCATGTTCTTTGTGTTTTGTTGTGTGTTTTTTTTTTGTTTTGTTTTGTTTTTTTTTTGTTTTTGAACTACCTCAGTTTGCCCTCATGTCCCTTACACACAAGCGAAATATTCCTTCAGCGGAGCGAAGAGGTGGCGGATGACCGGCACGCTCCACGACCGGCCCAGCAGTCTCTGCCTCGCCAAGCGGCTCATGTTGGAGACGTCCGTGTAGTGGACAGGGAAGCCAAACACCCTGGGGAGAAAGGGCAGGGAGGCAAGGTGAGCGCGGGCGAAATCTTCGCTCCTCTGTCACCGATTCACGACTCGGGCAGCCCCGCTGCTTTCTGTGGACCGGAAGCCCAGTGAGAGAACTGCAGCCTAGAGATTTACTGCACAGAGGAAGCACCTCCGGGACAGCGGCCCCTGAGATTTTAGGCCGACGGTGGGTATCTGAGGTCTGAAAGTAATGACTGTGCATCTCAAACACCTTCCCCTCCCAAGAGGGAGGAGGGCTCTCGCCTGACTCCACACCCCCAGGAGTTCCCGCTTGCTTGTGGCTTGTGTACGTGGTCCGTGCGGCTGGCTAAGTGGCAGTGACAGTGAGAATGAAGAGGTAATCTAGTCCCCCAGTCCAGTTTGTACCAAATCAGGGGGCTCAGGCTGGAAGGGCCCCACCCTGGTCCTGAGCTGCCCTGAGATAAGATGCTCCTGAGCTGCCGTGTTTCCTGGAGCTCAGCAGGACCCAAGGACTGACCCCCTAGATGCCTCGCTGTGGGACCATCCCCAGGAATTGGCCACGTCAGGAGATGCCTGCGTACCCACTGCTCACGTGGCATCTGTGCAAGACGCCAGCCCGGCCAGGAGACAGGGACCCCTCCCGCAAGGACGGCCCTGAGACCGAGCCCGGGTACCTTTCCATTTCAGTGCACCATAAGATGTCCTCTTTCTCATTCATGAAGACGGGGAAATGCTGGTCTTTGCCCTGCTTTATGGAGTTCGACCTCGTGGTAATGGTCCTCACTTTGCTGAACTGGAAAAGGAGGAAAGAGGGAAGAGCGATCACTCGCTGGTTATGCGTCTGCCACGTGTTTGCCAGGGACCGGCCAACACGGGCCTCTGCAGACCCCACCGCCTTGCTCTTCCTCCTACTCTGCGGTCGCCCACCATCCTCAGTCCAATCCTGATGGCTAAGGGACTGAGATACGGCAGCTGGAGCCATTGTCCTTCCTAAGTCCTCCAAGAATGGCTCCTTTCATAAGTGTAGTGGCTTGCAGGCAGAAAGATGCCAAATTACTCCGGCTCAAGATAGAACATTGCCGGCCTCCGCTCTCGGGAACCACTCGGGGCGGTAATTACAGAAAGAAATGGAGCTCCCGCATCACAGGAGAGTCTCTGCTGTGGAAACTCCCGCAGTAGGTCCTGGCCCAAAAATGTTAGCACCCTTGCAGAACTAGGGACCCTGGCAAAGGCTCCTTCGCGTCTGCCTCCCCTGGGGCACCAAGCAATGCTTAACAAGGGAGGGCAGAAGGCCAGCAATGACTTCAGATCTCTCTCTCTCTGCCTTCTAGACCTTCCTCTAGATCCTCCCCTCAGGCCAACTATACAAATGACCCCGTATCACCCCTAAATCACACACCCCATGCTAGCCGCACCCAAAGCCCCAGTCATAGCCCTGGTGGCTGCTCTACTGCATTCCGCCCTCTGCCCTTCTCCCCAGTGGCCAGCAGAGGGCTCCGACGCGGGCTAACCTTGGCTATTCGGCCATGCTCCAGACACTCCTGCAGCTCCAGCTTATCATTCACAGTGGATGCCAACGGCCTAGGAAGCAGAAAGGAGAAGGTGACAACGCGATCCGGGAGATGGGCAGGGACACGCCCGGCAGTGCTGACCCAGCGGCCATCTGGCTCCCACAGGTGAGCAAAAGGGGGTCCTGTCTCCCACCGTGCTGTAAGCCCTTCAACCGCCTCCCCCCCCCCCCCCCCGAAAATACACATACACGGCAGCCACCCACGGACACCAAAGCCACCAGGTATCAACCCTGAAAAGGTTGATCTCCAAAAGTGGTCTCCAGCTACAAGTAAGCAGGTCACACCTGCCCAGAAAGGGAGAAACCCAAATGTTTTTATTTTATTTATTTATTTTTAATATATTTTATTGATTTTTTACAGAGAGGAAGGGAGAGATATAGAGAGCTAGAAACGTCGATGAGAGAGAAACATCGACCAGCTGCCTCTTGCACACTCCCTACTGGTGATGTGCCCACAACCAAGGTACATGCCCCTGACCGGAATCGAACCTGGGACCTTTCAGTCCGCAGACCGACGCTCTACCACTGAGCCAAACCGGTTTTGGCCCAAATGTTTTTATTTTTATGTCAGTCATTTTAACTGAGTTTGAAAGGTACCCAACCAAGCAAGTCTGGGGGTGACAGAATGCTGTGCATCTTGGTTATAGTGACAGTTATGACATCTTAATCATGGTGCAAACTGGATGAGATTCATTAAACTGTGCACCTTAAATGTAAATTAAGAAGACACGTTCTGCACAGTCCCCTGAAGACTTCCTGACTTCAACCTTTCAACTACCTTCAACCATCACCACATCACGGAACACCGCCGCCAGCACGGGCCTTCTCTGACATTTAGAAATCCTCAGAGGGCTTCGCTGAGGTCACCATCTCCGCGTAGGAACCACGGGACCCGCATCCAACCGCGTCTCCAGGCTCCTCTCAGTTAACGCGTGCACACGTACACGCACACACATGCACACGCTCACACATATGCGCGTCTCTACCTGGTCCCACCTGGTCTCCCTGCTCCTTCTGGAAGCTCCGAGTTCTAGAATTTTGGAGTTGGAAGAAGCAGATGGGAATAACCCCCTAGGATCGAGGTGTGTGGCTTCATGGAAATGCTAGACTGTACAGTCTGTCCATTTTCCCAATGCACACATCCATCTTGGGAAGTTTAGGGGGACACTCAAGAGTTTTCAGATCAGCTGCCTCCCTGGCCCATCTCCTCCCCATCCACAAACCCTTGCAAAAGACAGCAGCCTTGCTGAACAGGGATGGGACCGAGGAAGTTCCTACATGCCAATGACAGAGAGGGAGGTTGCACAGCTGAGGCCAGATCAAATGATGTTTCCAATTTACAAGTAAGTACTCTCCGGGAGGCTTAAAATCCACACTCAGAACATTCTGGAAAATACTTCCCTCCGTCATAGATGTCCGGAGTGGGTGGGCCTCATGCTGCTTTTCAAGTGCCTCAACCAGAATTCCTCTCCTCACGGGCCATTTTTGTAGTGCAATTATCGCACAGAAGAAATGAAATTTCCTTCATTCCTGGTTATTAAAACCTATCTGGGTCACCTGATGCAGAACAGCCTTCCGGCAAAAGACCTGAAGCCAACCGAGTGCGGACAAGTGAGGTGGGGCTTCAACCCTGCACGGAGCTGCTTCCAGATTCCTTCCCCGCTGGACATGGTTGGGTGTGGGCACCTCCTTCCCATCCCCAACCCCTTTCTCCACAACCTGACCTCAGACCAAGGGCCAGCTGACTCTAAAGACATCACCACTGGAGAACCAGCACTCCCCTCGGCAGCCCGCTAGTTCTCCCTGTGCAAAAGGGGGTGCGCTTTCAAAGGCCCCATTTCCCACCGCTCGGCGTTGGTTTCTCAGGCAAGTACGTCCTCTCCCCCGACTCCCCTCCCTCCAGAGCAGGCCCGCGCGGGGCCGAGAAGCCCCCGCTCCAGGCTGTCCTGCCTGCAGACACCAACCCGCAGCCGCCCCGGGCCCGGGCGCTCTCACCAACCTGTTCATCCCAGGAAGGTTCCCCCAGAAGTAGCGGGCCCTGTGTGCAGCAGACACTTCTTTGGCATCAATCATCACAGGGTTGGACTGTGAAACAGGAGAGAGTGAACGCTGAGCGAGAGAGGACTAGGACATTGCCGGGGATGTGTGCGAGCCCGGAAGCTCAAAGGCTCGGTCCCCTCTCTGAGGAGGCCGCACACGGGGCGGCCTGAAGCCAGCAGGAAAGCCAGAACGAGACATAGCCACGTCCCACCGGCTCTTACTGGGACCTCCGAGAGCAGCACGCCCGGCAGGACACTCTGGGACGGTGACAGGGTCCCCCGTGGGCACTGCTCACCAGCAGTCCCTCCTCCCCCTCCCGCCGCGGAGGCTAACGAGCCCCTGAGTGTGACTGAGGGATTTTAACGCGTAAGCGTCACACGTGGCCAATGGGGCTCTCTCTGTGAGAGAAAGTTCCAGCAACGGTGCCGGTGTTTGCTGGACAACCTGACTGTGAGCCAACAGACAACCTGCAGTGACAGATCAGCGTCCCGAGGCCGGGAACGTGGGCTTGAGCTCCTGGGCCGCCCACCCCCCCGACCCCCCGAGGCTGCCTCCGGGCCGAAGCCCTCTGTGCATGGCTCACTCCGGGCTCAGTGCCGGCCGGACCCACGCTATGAAACAGGTCCCGTGTCCTTCCCAGGCGCACAGAGCGTCTGTCACGCTGCTGGGGAGCGAGGCTGAACCATCGATTTCGGCATCTCCTAGGTTCCCCCCCGTGAAACACCACACAGAACCCAACCCCTGAGAGGACCCTCCCACCCTCTTCACACTCCGGTCCCTCAAGTCCTAAGTCGTATACCTCCCCGGGGAGAGAGAGAGAGAGAGAGAGAGAGAGAGAGAGAGAGAGAGAGAGAGAGAGACTCGGAGTTCTTCCGGGGCAGGCCTCTCACGATGCTTCCTCCCCATCTCCTGGGGAACCCCCAAGCTTCCCAAACGGAAGTCCCTTCGCAAAGCAGAGGTCCCCAGCCCCCGGCCGCATGGTGCAGAGGAGACGGACGAAGCGGCCGTCCGAGGCGGAAGCCACGGTGAGCGGGCCAGACCAAGGGTGCCGGCTGTACCTCGAGAAACCGTGAGATGTCCCTCTTGTCGCTCACGCCCATGGCCACCACATTCTCAAAGAGCCAGAAGAAGGGGCGGTCATCTCCCTCCTTGGGCCGCGCGTCATGCAGGAGGCGGTAGAACTCGAAGAAGAGCCGGCCAGTGCCCTCTGGGAGGTGGGAGAGAAAGCCGTCAGCGGGGCTGGCTGCAGAGACAGCGGCGTGGCTGGGGCGCGGGGCGGGGGAGGGCGGGCAGGGCCGTGGGGAGTGGCCGTCCCAGGGCAGAGATGGCCGGGTAGGAAGCCCAGTGCAGAAGCAGCAGCCGGGAAGGCGGCCGGGCGAGCACCCACCGTAGAGGCCCTTGCGGGCGGGGTTGACGATGGAGAGGTCGTTGCACGGGCTGCCCCCGATCACCAGGTCGAACGGGCCCCACTCCTGGATCTGAGCGGACAAAGGGGACGGAACGGGGCTTACTGCCCGGAGACGGAGGCAGAGAGGAAGAGGGAGACCGCCTGTGGACTTGACATGGGGAGAGGAGACCCTGCTTTGTACACTCACCGCCTACACTCATTCACACAGGTGTACCACGCGCACGCACACGCACGCACACGCACACGCACACATACTCCGTGCAGCCCTGGGCCAGTCGCCGAGGCCCTCCAGCTCCGTTTCTTCCACAGGAAGTGAAGGGACTGACCCGGACCACCCGAGGCCGGCAGGGTGGCCAGTGTTCCCGGCAGGGGAGGGAGGCAGCCCCTCACGAGAAGGCCGAGCGTGGAGGCACCCTGCGCTCTGCATGCCCTTCGGGATTCCTGCGGGCCCACAGCCTCCGGGGCAGACAAGACACCAGAGGGGCAGAGGGGGACTCAGCCAGGACCCCTCGGGCACCCTGAGAACTGGAGGCTGGCAAAGCTGCCGCCCGAAGTGCGAGGACTGGCACCTCACCCCCATCCTAAGCGCTCAACTAAAAAGGGAGCCAGAGAGCAGCCTGAGCCCCAAGTTCCCATCTCGCTCTGCCCCCCAGCCTCAAGGCAGGGAGGAAAACGGAAGGGGGGCAGGGAGAGAGGCTGGGGGAGGCATGGAAAGGAAAATAAACGCACAGAGCGAGAGGGGGCTGGAGCTGAGTGTGAGATGCAGAGAAGGTGGGACCCCAGCACGGACTGACATACATGCTTCTGCGTGACGCTGCGGACGTCCCCGACGTACATGATCTTCCCCTGGTGCCGCACCATGCCCACCGTGATGGAGTCCTCGCACACCTCAGAGGCGATGTAGCGGTCCACCTGGATGCCCAGGTCCTTCAGCACCAGGAGCCCTGCGCAGGCCGGGGACAGCTCGGTCACCAGCCGCCTCTGGCAGCAGGTCTGTGCCGGGAGCCCTCGGCCAGCCCTCGGGGCACACAGTCAGCGATGGCCTGAGCCCTGCCCTGCCCAGGAAGCTGCCTGAAATCCACGGCAAAGACACCGAGGCTGCTTCACGTCAAGCTCGATCTCCTTCAAAGGCAGTCAAGGCCAAGGCCAGGACAGACCACCCGGACGGGAGGCGGCTTCAGGATCCGGGGAGAACAGCAGCCGAGTTGCGGTGGCCTCCTCTTCGCTGCTTCTCCGTCTTTCACACACTGGTCCCTCCTTATCGCTCCTTTCCCCAAAACAGCACATCCTGCTGCAACTCCCCCCCGTCCTTCAAAACCCAACCTGAGTGCTACCTGCTCTAAAAATGGTTTACCAACGCCCTCCCCTCCTCTGTAAGCCCCCAGCACTCTGCGTCCCTCTCCACCTCCTTGGAGCAGTGAGTATTCCTCACTCAGCTTTTCTCTTGGGCTACAAGTGTCTTTAAAAAGACAGAGTGTGAGGTCTGCAGAAACCGGTGTGGCTCAGTGGATAGAGCGTCAGCCTGTGGACTGAAAGGTCCCGGGTTTGATTCCGGTCAAGGGCGTGTACCTGGTTGCGGGCACATCCCCAGTAGGAGGTGTGCAGGAGGCAGCTGATGGATGTTTCTAACTCTCTATCCTTCCCTCTCCCTTCCTCTCTGTAAAAAAATCAATAAAATATATTTTTAAAAAAAGAGTATGAGGTCTCATCCAAGCGTTTCCTCCTGAACTCACTACAGGTACATCCTTACCACCCCCGCTCCCCCCAGTGTTGCTAAAAGCCAAGGAAACGATGAGAACAGACCCCGCAGCTCCAGGAGAAAGGGGCTACTGGGCGGCCCTTCCTCCCCCGAGGGGCTGACAGCCGCTTGAAGTGCCACATGGTCTGAGGGGGCCTCGGGGGTCCAGCCTGCGAAGCCACAGATGCACATGAGCCTCTGTAGGTTCACAGAACATCAGCACCGACCGAGAGGGAGAACGTCAGACAGACGTCCGGCCCGGTGCTATCCCTACGCCGGCCCGCTGGCCAAGGCCCCGGGGCGGGGACCGTCCATCTCCCTCGGGGCACGTGAAGGCAAGTTCCGAGGAGAGTGCGTCCTTTCTGAGGGATGGAGCCCAGCCCGGGAGCAGCCCCGAGGGGGAGGGCGTCAGCGCCCCCTTCTGGCAAGGTCCAGAACCCCGTGAAGAAGACAGTGCCCGCCCAGGGACCCAGCGCCCCCTAACAGAGAACAGCTAAAGTATATACTATAAGAGTGTGCACAGGGAGGCCCGTTACAGCACAGGATTAAAGAATCATGTGCTTTCACGCAACAGCATCCTACGCGGCTCTAACAAATAGAGGAAGTGGTCCTACACTGACTGACATGAGAAAGTCACCCTAACGTCATGAGTGAAAAGGCACGTTACCTTTCACCGTCCCTTTGTCTTCTCTACGTGTGATTATATACACACACTCACAGAAACCTAAAACCACGTTCACCAAAACACTAATCATAGGCTTACGGGCCTTCTAAATAGTCTCTGCTCTCACTCACCGAGTTTGTGTCTTTACTGCGACTTAAAGTGAAAGTACACAAGTGCCATGTTTGTTTGTTTTGGTCGCCGTCTCATGAAAACCATCTCAATCATCTCTCAGTCACTCCGTCCTCTGCTGGGAAGCTCCCTGGTTCAGACAAGCCCCCCGGGACATGCTGCTCTGCCCCTTATTTTACTTCCCACTGAACGTGTCCCTCCGGGGCAATGCTTTCGCGGCGGCCGATGCTCACTGACTGCAGTTTGGTCCGAGTTGAATACCCGCATTCCCAAACAGGCTGCCCGCCCCCGGAGGGGGGTTGCAGCCCCGCTCGGACCCGTGCTGCTCTCACCTGTAGCGATTCCGTCAAACAGAGACAGCACCCGGATGGGCTTCCTCTTCTCGGCCGGGACAGGTGGGTAAACCTTCGGAGGGTCCTAGGCGGGGAGCACAACAGGCCAGGTAAGCACCCGGGCATGTCCTCCGGCCCCACGGTGGGCGCCATCGGTCGGCTTTCTGACCCCGCACAGCCAGCGCCCCGTGGCTCGGGCACCCCCTGCTCATCATCACCCGGCCCCACGACCAACGGAGGCAGCATGGTGGGCCCGCCCTCCAGCCCCGGCGGTGGGGGTGGGCGCACGGGGTCCCGGGGCAGGCCCAGCCGGCGGCACTCACAAACTCCTGGTCGTGGTTGTTGGCGAAGAACATCTGCAGCCGCGAGGGCCAGTCGTCCCGCCTCCGCAGCAGCCCGTAGGTGCCCTTGTGCCCGCACATGTAGCAGTTCCAGGGGTCTTCTTTAATGGCGGCCTGGGCGGCGCCGGGCCCCACCAGGAGGTCCACGCACTCCACGCAGAAGCACCTGAGGAGGCCCAGGGTGGCGGTGGGACGCCCAGCCCGGCCGGTCCCGGGAGGGGGGGGGGAGCAGGGCTGGGCAGGCGGGCGGTGGTGGGCGCCCCAGTGCCCACCCCGGGGGGCGGGCAGGCCCAGGCGGGGGGGGGCCCTCACCTGCAGCAGTTGTTGTTCCCGCACATGAGCACCTCGCGCCCCCCGCAGCAGATGGTGCAGTAGGACTGGTAGCCGTCGTCGTCGTACTGGTACGCGCACTCCAGGAAGCAGTTCTGGAGAGCAGGGGGCAGTCAGGCCCTCCCTCCGCGAACCCGGGAACCCCGGTTCGGCCCTGGAGACTCGCCCCTGCCACCCATCCAGCCAGGGTCTGGCCTAAACCACAGGGCAGGGAGGGGCCGGCAGGTCCCCTGATCCCAGCCGCGGACAGCAGCCAGGAGGCCTGGGCGAGGGCTGGGGAGGGAGCGGGGCACCCTTTGCCCCTAGCTCCTCCCCTGGGCCCCGAGGTGCAGCAACCCACCCACCAGTCCGCTGTGTCCTCCCCTGGGGACTGAGAGGGGCTGTACAGGGGGACACTTCCAGGAGGAAGAAGAATAGCAAGTCAAACACTTGAAGCCAAAGGTCTTGTTTTATCCGAACTTGCTGCTTCCACTGCTAACATGGGGGGGGGGGGGGGGAGTCAGAGGTCAGGAGGTGGCAACCTCGACAGCCCCACCTTGCAGTTTTGGCACATTCCTCCGATGAAGAGAGGGTGTTCCAGCGTGACGTTGAGGCTCCCACAAGAGATGCAGATGTCTGGAAAGCAGAGGAAGCCAAGTGAGCAGCACTGCGGGGGACCAAAGCCCATTCCAGAAAAGCTACAAAAGGGGTGTGTGCTGGAGCCGCCTCAGGCAACAGGGAGGGCCCTGTGGCCCGAATCTCAGAAGCCCTGTCCTCTCTCGGAGCATCGATGCCACCATCCAGGAGTGGCAATGTGACAGAGACAGGAACCCACCCAGGAGAACAGGGCCCTGCCGTCCCTGGGTCTGGAGGCGGTCCTTGGCAAGAGCCTTAAGTCCTGGGCCCCTGCCCCCATCCTCTCCCCCAGGCCTGAGGGCCCTGAGCTTGACACACCATCACTGGGCCAAGGGAGGCAGGCTTGGGATGCTAATGACCACTGGCTGAGAGAAGGTGATGAGAGATGTGAGGCCCAAGGGTCAGGTTCGGGCAATTCAATCAAATACAAGAGGGGCTCCCCTGTGGGACCCACTGGGGTGTCACCGATCAATGCCAGCCGACGGCAGATGTGTAGGCGCTGCCGGCCGGAGGTGGTGCCACAGGCAGGCTGACCCCGGGACTGCGTGCTGATGTTCCACGCCGTTCACACCTTTCTCAGGAGCCATGCTCTGCCCCAGGCAGCCCCTTGCAAGCCGGCCCCCCTGCCCGTCCCAGGGGGCTGGCGCCCGGTGCCCCGTTGGACTCACCCTCGATGTTCCGGCACTTCTGCCGCACCTCATACACCAGCCGCTCTGCGGAGGGAGGGAGGGAGGGAGGGAGGCCCAGCATCAGAGGCGGCGAGGGGGCCTCCCCCACTCCTCTGAGTGCCAGCCTCGCCGCGCCGCTCTCTCCAGAGCCGGGCTAACTACCTCTTGTGCGTTCGTCGATAATCTCCTTGACCTTGGGCTTCTCGGTGGTGCTCTTCCGGGGCTTTTTGGCTGGTGGGGGCGGAGCGTAGGCAGCTGCCTCGGGTTCCACCCACATGTCTGTGTAAACTTCTTTGTAGGGGTTCTTCTCCTCTGGATGGCGGAAGCAGGGAAGGTGGTCACGGTGCCCAACCGACAAGGGAGTCCCAGCTCCCTCTCCTCCCCCGTTCCACCCGTTCATCATGGGGTGCAGCCTGGTCCCCGACATGCTCCTTGCTCTCCACTCTCTGGAGCCAGCAGGCCAATGGGGAGCGAGTTATTCTGAGTCCCAGAGCAGGACTGCCCTACCTGGCCCCAGGGGAGAGAGACCGTGCCCATGGACGGAGGCCTAGGCAGCCCACGCTCAGCATGGCTTTCCCAGGCCTGCCTGAGAGGGGTCCAGGAGGGCAGGCTGGGCCCCTGCACTTACCTTCTGGCGGTTCCAGGCCCTTGGGGCCAGAGGGCTGGAACCCTCCCAGGGCCCATTCGATCATCTGCTTGTTCTGCACCTCCACGGCCTTGGCAGTGTCGCTCTCATCGCTGTCATGGCACGCTGGGAACAGCTTCCCGGCTCGGCTGCTGGCCACCTGGGGGGGTAACATGCAGGGGGGGTTAGAGAGACAGGCCGGGGGGCAGACTCCCAGTAGCGAAGGTGGGAGAAGGTGCAAGGAAGGGGAGGACTGGAGGAGAACAGGCCTGAAGAGTGTAGGAAGGAAGCGAGTGAGATGGGGAAAAGGAGTCCATAGGCCTGGCAGGCGGACCCTCTGCCCAGGCCCAGCATCGACATTTCGGCTTCTATGCCACTGGCGGCCCGGACCCACGACAGGCACTCACCTGCAGCACTTCGTAGATGGCTTTGCGGTACATGGGCTGCTTGTTGTAGGTGGCCTGGTGGAAGGCGCTGCAGAAGGAGCTCAGCGGCATCAGCTTTTCCACGCACACCTGGGGGGACGACCACGGCCCTCGTTTTCCCTCCCACACTCACCAAGCCCCACCCGGTGCCTAGCGACAGGCCAGGAGGCACCAGGACTGGCCCCCGTCCCTGAGAGGACCAGATGCCTCACTAAACAACTGCCTGATGCAAGGACCTGAAGGCCAGCGGGAGGGATGCTGGGGAACGGGTTCCCGGAGGGCAAACACTCGGCGGGCACTCCAGCTGTGAGGCACCAGTGCAACCGCCTGACCTCCGGGGCCTCACACACAGCGCGGGGGCCAGCAGAGCCCGCGTCTACCGCCCAACTCCACACCAGGCCCCGGCCAAAACTGAAGGCCTGGGGACCGACACCCCATCCCCCCGCAGACTAACCGCCAAACCCCGAAACTCACCACCGAGAACTTGCCGTCTCCAAACCACATGACCCAGCGGGTGCCTTCCGCCGCTCGACTCCGGCCGGTCATCCACCACGACACGATGCGGCCGGGCCACCAGGAGAAGCCCCGCAGTTTCCCCCACACCAGCTCCCCAATGCCAAAGCCCCGGCCGTCCTGGATCCCCGAGGAGCACAAGTCATTACACGGCAGTCACGAGGCCCTGCCACCCTCGTTCCCCTCTCCCCCCCGCCCCGCCACGGCCACCCCAGCCCTGGGCATCTGAGGGTCAGGACAGCCGGGAGGGAGCTCCATCCGAATGGACCGAAACGGAGCAAACACTGGGGAGACGGAGAGGCCCAGGATCAGGTGGAGAGCGGAGAGCAGGGTGGGAGGAGCCGGCGGTGGAAGGACCCGGGGCAAAGCTGGACGAGGCAGCGGATGAAGCAAGCCGCTCACCTCGTACTCCGGCTCGTCATCGGCCGCTTTGGTGGCGTTCTTGTCCCCCGTGTCGGCCCCCACGGGCTCAGGGGTGGTGGCCACGGTGGGGGACGCGGGGTCAGTGGGCTGCTGCACGGCAGGAGGGCTGGCCTCCTCCACCTTCTGAGACTCACTGGAGCCCTGGTTTTCTTCCACGGCGTTCATCACGGCGATCACCTTGGCTTTCTTCTCAGCCTGGGGACACAAGGAGCAGGCGGTTACCTGGGCCTCTCCAGGCATCGGCATGGCCACCTCACACTGAGGGAGCTCCTCTCAGCCTCTTTCTGGTCTGGAGACCGTGGTGGGAGGCCAAGGGCTGGAGAGGAGAATTCTTCCCTCCTCCACTCAACTGGCCTGCCGTGGGAAACAGAGAGATGCGAAGGTTGAGAGGCAAACTCCCACCACCTGGCTCAGCTCCAGCCTTCTCCCCTGCCTCTGCGGAAATCCCCCTACCTGGGCTGATCTCTCCCGGTCCATCACCATGATCATTCGCCCACCCTCTGACGTGGAAAGGTTCATTCTATTCAGATACGAGTCGTGCACCTTCCTTTAGGCTCCCTCCTCTCCTATCGTATGTCTAAGTCAGAAATGGACTTCTCATCCTTTTCCCCACAAAGTTCCCTGGGCAGCCAGGAAGATCTGGGCGGCTCCTAGGCCCCGATGCTGGTTCTGGGGTCAGGTCTGCTACGAGGAAAATCACTGCTGGGTTTCCTTCCCCACCTGCTTGAGAACCATGAGAAGCCCCCTGCGAGCTTGTCTGCTTCCATGCTGGAGTTCTTAGGATTAAATCCACTGCACATTCTGTTACCAGATTCACCCTTCCCCCTTCGCTGTGTCCCTTCCAGACCCATATAGAAATACACTTATTCTTCCGACACTTACTTCCTGAGCACAGGCCTCCTCTCTGCCATCCCACCGACAAACTCAACCAAACCCAATCCCTGTCCCAGTTGGACAGCCTCCATCCTCTCGTCATTTCAAACTTCACTGTTCAGACTCTGCCCCGTTCCTTCTCACAACCTGCTCCAGGCTTCCCCCCACCCTACAGAGGGCCATGGAATCCTTGAGACATGCTCTGAGGGCTGGCCAACCTCATCTCACCCCAGCGACCGGATCTACAACACGTGGCCCTCAAACGCACACCCATTTCCGCCACACCAGATCCAGAGAAAGGAAATCCCATCCATATGCCTTTCCATAGGAAGCTCCTCCCCAGAGCTTATGAAAAAGGAAAAAGCATCAGGGAGCAACACGGAGTCCCAGAGCTCTAAGCTGGAAGGCAGAGCATCGACCTCTCTTTCTTAGCCTCCAACTCATTCACAGCTGACTCTGAGGCAGCCCCTTCTCTTCTGAGCAGCTCCCACCTAAAAAGGTGCTAAAATGGATGGGTTTCGGTTACCCTTTTCTGACTATCAAGAATTCCAGGGGTGCGCCAAACCCCGTTAATGAGCCCCCAGATCCCGGGGTTCCAGGTTAAGAACCTTGGGTCTTAAAGGCAATGGTCTACGCTCGGCGATTCGTCTCATTCAATCTTCAAGTCTCCGTTTCCGGGCCGATCGGCTTCCTGTAACGACTCCTAAAACACTCACGGTGGAAGTCCCAGTTCTTTCTCTGACTCAACAAACTCTAAGACGGGATCATTTATCCTTTGCCCCCAGCCCACAAACAGCTGGGAGAACGAGGTGGGAGAATGCCAGTCATTGCTCATCCCATCCTAGCCCCGCTCCCACCTGGCACCTGGTGGAATTCGGTCCCTCCTTCCTACTATCAATTACCCGCACCGCCTCCCCGCAAGGTGTGACTAGGTAGGCACTCAGCCCCAGGAGGGAGGAGGACTCCCCTCTAGAAGCGTCAGCTGGGGCCGCCTACCCCGGAACCAGACCCCTTCGGATGAGCAACAGGGCGATAGCTGTTTCTGCTCCCTTCCCTCTTCCTCCTCCAGCTTCAGTCACGTTGGCTGATCTAGACCAGGGTGCCACCCTGGATGACCCGGAGACCCGGGGCACAGGGGTGACAAGGCCCCTCGGCCAGAACAAGGTGTGTAGGTAGGTCGCAGAGGGCAGGAGGGAGGGAAGGAGAGAAGGGCCTTCTGAGGGAAGGAGCTGAAATCACTTCCACAATGAGTAGCAACCGGGGGGGGGGGGGGGGGGCGGGCGCTGGGCTCCCCGGGTCTAGACTCGAGGTGAGTAGAGAAAGGGTGAGTAGAGTCGTGCCTGACACCACCCTTCGTCCTCCCCCACAGCCCCTTTGTCTCTCCTCCATCCCTCCACAGCCGGTTCCTTTCCTGAACACGCTTCTTCCCCCACAACTTCCCCCGGCTTGTCAGATGCTGCTGCTGACGCCTAGGAAGCGCCCCCAGCCCACTAGGTGCAAGAGAACATGCACCCCTAACAGTTTCTTGGCAGGCGGAGGAGGAGGAGGAAGGGGGCCACCATGGTGGCACCGCCGGCTGGGGCAGGGGAAGGAAGAAGGGGGTGGGTTCGCAGCAGGAGGCGAGAGAAAAGGGGAAGAAGGGACCCGGACCGTGGCTGGGTGGGGGAGGGGCCTCATTAGAGGAGTCTGCCCAAGGTAGTGAGGGAATGAAAGCCTGTTTTCCCACGTTCTCTCAAACCCATCTCCCCCGGGCAAACAATAGGAGAAAGAAGGGTTAACTCAACCTTGGCATTGGGGCTAAAGGCTCCTGCCCTCAGCTCAGAAGACCCCACTCCAAGTGGCCCAGAGATTGGGCATGATCAGAGAGACACTACACACTGCCACCACCACCACCACCACCTCCACCACCAATGTGGCTCAAGGAAGCCACTTTGCCTGGAGTTTTGTCCAGCCTGGAAAGCCACTGCTAACTCCACTCTGGGGGAGCCGGGCCTCCTCCGGATCCAGATCTCTCTCCTCCGGCAGCTGTCCCACTTCCACCCCCCTCCGGGCTGCTGCTTCCTGTTCCAAAGGTCAGAGGTCTGGGCGCCCATGCGGACACCCTGCTGCTGGTGCAGCAGACCCTGGGCTGTCCCAGGAGCCTCGCAGGCCCGAGTCAGGCTGATCCCTGGGTCCAGGCTGCACCGCTCCCTCCATCCCAGCACTTCTCCCCGGCAGCCTGCCCGGCGGCTCCCAGGGACACGCAGGAGAGGAAACTATCCCTTCTCAAGAGGCTGCGAGGTTGGCAAGGCCGGAGGACAGCTCGGCCCACGGGCCAGGAGCACACAGGTCAGCAAGGCAATGCCAGCAACCCATCTGCCAGCCGGTTCAGCAGATGCGTGGCTTCCAGCCCGACCCCTAGGCTCCCTGCGCCTCGGGCGGCCAGGGCCTGCTCCTCCGCAATCAGAGCCGCTGCCCCGGGCTCTTCCCGGCCCCTGAGCCCCAGCCAGGTCCCCCGTTTGCAGCGAGGAGCGGGGAGGAGGGAGTGGGTGGGACGCAGGAACTTAGCATCTCAGCACTCGGGCCAGGCAGGGGAGCCAGCCAGCTCGCGCGGGCCAGGGACGCAGCACACTTGACTCTTCCCAGCCCAGCCTGCAGCGGGGCCCGGGATCCTCCCCCCCCCCCCCCCCGGCCGCCCGCCTCCGTCCAGGAACCTACCCATAGGGCCAGGTGCAGCCCCTCCGCGGTCCGGCTCAGGTGTGAGCCCCGGCCCGCAGCTCCGTAAGTAGCCGCCCGCCCGGGGGGAGGGGAGGGGGCGCTGGGGCCGGGGCGGAGGGGGCCGGAGGGAGGGGGAGGGGGCAGGTGGGGGGGAGGGAGGGCTCGAACATTTTCTTTGTCTACAACTCCGGGTCACGTGGGCCCCGCTGGAGTGCTTGGTTGGCTGCGAGCGGGCCGGGGGAGGGGGCCGGCCCTGCGACGCTGGCGGCGGGCCAGCCCCTCTGCTCCCGGCCGGGGGGCGCGGGGGCCCGGGGGCGCGGCGGGGCCTCGGCGGGTTCCCAGGGCCGGCCCAGCCGTGGAGGCGGGCCCGCCCCTTCCTCCCGCGGCCCGCCCCGCCCCGCCCCCGCCCCCCAACTCCGCGGGAGCTCCGATCCCGGCTGGGGGTGGGGGGGTTGGGGGGGAGTCGGAGGCGGGGAGCCCCCGGGCAGCGCTGCAAGGGGAGGAGGGCAGCCGGGGGGTCAGGTGGGAGCGCAGGGGAGAGGAGGGAGGGGGTTCCGGACCGTCTGAGAACCAGGAGAAAGTTGTTAGAAGTGAGTCTCAGAAGCACAGCAACAAAAAAAAAAAAAAAAAAAAAAAAGGAAAGGAAAAAAAAAAAGCTTACAGATGAGCGAAGCAGCCCAGGAAGTTGTAGGGAAACTCCAGGCGCACAGAGGTGGACGGAAGGCGCCCGCAGGGGACGTGACGGGGTGGGGTGGGGCTCCCCTCACACTGCAGGTGGGTGGAGGGGGGCGCCCTAAACAGCTGGCAGCAGTGCAGGCTTTGAAAGCCTCTTCCTGGCCAAGGCACTGGGACTCCTAGGTCACTCTGGGTTTGCCTTGAATTCCTCCCTTTCTTGTTTGCAAGGTGGGGGGGTGGGGGTGGGTGCTGGTTCAAAAGTAGAATAGTCCCCCCCCCCTTATGGGAGATGCGGAACTTTGTTCAAGAGGAAACCCTCCACCCCCCACCCCCATTGGTGCCTGAAACCTTCGATGGTACCAAACTATATATACTGGTTTTTTCCTATATGCACATACCTCTGATGAAGTTATAAATTAGGCACAGTAAGGCATTAACAACGAATAAAATAGAGTAATTATAGCAACAGACTTGTGAACGATCACTGCAAAGATCACTGGCCCAGCCGGAGTGGCTCAGTGGTTGAGCCTTGACCTATGAAGGAGGTCATGGTTCCATTCCCCATCAAGACACGTGCCCGGGTTGAGGGCTTGATCCCCAATAGGGGGCATGCAGGAGGCAGCCAATCAGTGATTTACTCTCATTATTGCTGTTTCTCTCTCTCTCTCTCTCTGAAATCAATAAAAACCTAATTTTTAAAAGCAATATCACTGTATGCACCCTTTTCCTTGTGATGTAGATAAAATGCCTCCATAATGAAATGAGGTGAGGCATGGTGACACAGTGGTAGGCCACTACTGACCTTCTGACCATAACTATGTCAGAAGGGGCATCATCTGCTTTGGGTAATCCCGGATCGTGGAGCTATGGCAATGTGGACGGTTGGGGAAATGTATTATTTTTGGACTGTGGCTGACCTTGGGTAACTGAAACATAGAAAACCAAACCCC